CTCACGCAATTAACTCAAAAAAATTAATCGCACTGTTAAACAATAGAATGCCAATTGAAATGTATTCAATATTTTTGGATTTTTTTCTACATTTTCAAATATATTGATTTCTATTACAACACAGAATACAAAGTGTACAGTGCTCACTTTATATTATTATTTTTTATTACAAATATTTGCACTGTAAAAATGATAAAAGAAATAGTATTTTTCAATTCACCTCATACAAGTACTGTAGTGCAATCCCTTTATTGTGAAAGTGTAACTTACAAATGTAGATTTTTTTGTTACATAACTGCACTCAAAAACCAAACAATGTAAAACTTTAGAGCCTAAGTCCATTTAGTCCTACTTCTTTTTCAGCCAATTGCTAAGACAAACAGGTTTGTTTACATTTACGGGAGATAATGCTGCCTGCTTCTTATTTACAATGTCACCTGAAAGTGAGAACAGGTGTTCACATGGCACTTTTGTAGCTGTTGTTGCAAGGTATTTACATGCCAAATATGCTAAACATTCGTATGCCCCTTTGTGCTTCTGCCACCATTTCAGAAGACATGCTTCCATGCTGATGTTGCTCATTAAAAAAATAATGCATTAATTAAATTTGTGACTGAACTCCTTGGGGGAGAATTGTGTGTCTCCTGTTCTGTTTTACCAGCATTCTGCCACTTATTTCATGTTATAGCAGTCTTGGATGATGACCCAGCACATGTCCTTTTTAGGAACACTTCCACAGCATATTTGACAAAACGCAAAGAAGGTACCAATGTGAGATTTCTAAAGATAGATACAGCACTTGACCCAAGGTATAAGAATCTGAAGTGCCTTCCAAAATCTGAGAGGGATGAGGTGTGGAGCATGCTCTCAGATGACTTAAAAGAGCAACACTCCGATGCGGAAATTACAGAATCTGAACCACCAAAAAAGAAAATCAACTTTCTGCTGGTGGCATCTAACTCAGATGATGAAAATGAACATGCGTCGGTCCGCTCTGCTTTGCATTGTTATTGAACAGAACCCACCATCAGCATGGACGCATGTTGGAATGGTGGTTGAAGCATGAAAGGACATATGAATCTTTAGCACATCTGACACATAAATATCTTGTGACGTTGGCTACAACAGTGCCAGGCGAATGCCTGTTCTCACTTTGAGGTGACATTGTAAATAAGAAGCGGGCAGCATTATCTCCTGCAAATTGTAGCCAAACTTGTTTGTTTGAGCAAGAAGTAGGACTGAGGGGACTTGTAGGCTCTAAACTTTTACATTGTTTTATTTTTGAATGCAGTTATTTTTTGTACATAATTCTACATTTGTAAGTTCAACTTTCATGATAAAGAGATTGCACTACAGTACTTGTATTACGTGAATTGAAAAATACTACTTCTTTTGTTTTTTATAGTGCAAATATTTTAAATCAAAAATAAATATAAAGTGAGCACTGTACACTTTGTATTCTGTGTTGTAATTGAAATTAATATATTTGAAAAGATCCAAAAATATTTAAATAAATGGTATTCTATTATTGTTTAACAGCGTGATTTATCGCAATTAATTTTTTTAATCACTTGATAGCCCTATTCTAAATGGTATAAATGGTTAGACTAATAATCCAAAAAAATAATGGGGTAACTTGGTGTTTAGTTCTTTAAGTCTAAAATTTTACAAATTGGTTGAGACAGGCTTTTGAGAAAATAAATTCAAGTACAGCATTATGCCTCCACCTGTCTGCTGCTACATGATTTTTTTTAAATGTTTGAAACAAGACACTATGGTCCCAATACTCCTTTCATATTTACAGTGGAATTGATAATTTACAGTGGGTTTATTACTGATGTACACCAATGTAATGAGATGACACTGATTAGGCCCTTGGAGCTTATTAATGGAGTAATTTGGATCAATCTTAATCGCCTCTACTTCTGAAGAGGCAATCTGTTTCCCTTTTAGATCTAATAATTTATACTGTCAGGCTGGGTCTACACTACAGTGGGGGTCCGACCTAAGATACGCAACTTCAGCTACGTGAATACCGTAGCTGAAGTTGCGTATTTTAGGTCGGCTTACCTGGCGGTGAGGACGCGGGAAAGTCGACCGCTGCCGCCGACTCCGCTGCCGCCTCTTGCCGAGGTGGATTTCCGGAGTCGACGGCAGAGCGATCAGGGATCGATTTTACCGCGTCTTCACTAGACGCGGTAAGTCGATCCCCGATAGACCGATTGCTACCCGCCGGATCGGCGGGTAGTGAAGACATGCCCTCAGAGACACAAAACTGCCATCCTTTTGAAGGAGACTACCTTTGAACCAGTCAATGAAGCACCTGAGAGAAGCAAAGCTACAAAGACTAACGATTGAGCTCCGATCTCTCCATGGCAGTGGATAGTACTATTTTGAAGCTACTGAGTCAAATCTACATTTGATTTTTTGTTAATCTATTTAAAAAAAATACCATTCATTCAGTTATCTTGTTATAGATTAGAGAAATGTTGCATCTGCCAGTTTTGTTCCTTTTAGTATTTCAGGTTTCCTTACTTTCACTCTTCTTTGGAAAATCTAATTTAGATACATAATGCAAGAAAACAAGAAAATCTAGCTTAGATGAGAAACAGCAAGTTTGTTTTGTTTCTTAATACTGAACATCTACACTGTTTTAAAACGATATAAATATAAAAAGCAACATCTTCATTACTTCTGTGATCTTTTCTGGAGACCAGGGCCAGATCCCCAGTTGATGTAGACTGTCATAGCTCCACTGACTGACTTCAATAGAGTTATGATGATTTACACAAGTTAACTATCTGGAACGAAGAAAGGTACTAAAAAGCCAGTAGCAACTGCAGTTAACCATTACTATTAAAGACAAAACATTCTTCTGGGATGACTGCAAAGGTTCTACAGATTCTGGAAAAAGCATGGGGTAAAATATTGGCTTCCTTGAAGTGAATGGGAGTTTTGCTATTGCTTCAAGGGAGCCAGGATTTCACTCTTGGAACCTAGGAACAGCAAACTGGGTTCTTCACATTCCAGTGCAGCAACATAAGAACGGCCATACGGGTCAGACCAAAGGTCCATCTAGCCCAGTATCCTGTCTTCCGACAGTGGCCAATGCCAGGTGCGCCAGAGGAAATGAACAGAACAGGTAATCGTCAAGTGATCCATTCCCTGTTGCCCATTCCCAGCTTCTGGCAAACAAAGACTAGGGACACCATCCCTGCCCATCCTGGTAGCCATTGATGGACCTATCATCCTCCATGAATTTATCTAGTTCTTTTTTGAACCCTAAATTCTTTTTTGAACTCTTTTACTGCAAGCATTTGCAAAGTAATCTAGGTAAACAAGTGTCTCTAAAGTCCATTAAAAAGGATCCAATAATTACAGATACTAGCAAGCAATGAATCCGAGATGATTTAATTCATCATCAGTTCTAGACTACACAGAGAGCTTGAAAACTGTATGAAAGTTTGTCTTTTTCAAAGGTTTATCTATTTTTTGTGTCTGATTTTAACTGGGTATTATCTTTCCTCCCCCAAATATCTAATTCAATGTCATCTCTGAAGTACGGTGGAAATGTGAAATATATGGATAGCAAAGAAATGGTTAGTTAGATTATGTAAATTATGTTACATGGGAAATTTCCTGTTCCCTGCTTTTGTTAACCACTTTGCATAATTAAATAGTACAAATGCTCCCTGTATTCATTTAGCAAATAAAAGGAATACAGATTTGTTCCCTCTGTTCAAACTGACCAGACAAGGCTATCACAATACACTGCTATGAAGTACACTTAAATTCAGAAGTGACTCAAACACTTTTGCACAGTGTAACAGCTAAGAATGGGATACTTTAGGAACTGATCTGTTTTCTCTCTCTTGTGAGAATGACTGTTAAGTGACTGTTGCCACCTCCATTATTTTTAAAGCACTTCCTGAATGTTTATCCATGTTGACTGTGGAGGAAATTCCACGCATATATTTGGATTCTGGCTTGAGGTTTCAGGTTGATGTGATGTGAGAAGGATGTGCAAGGTGTAAAAATCCCACCTTTCTCAGATTTTTTTGTTTTAAACAGAACAGCAGTCTGCAGGGTTAGATCTAATATTTTTTGTTTTTTACCACCATGTTTTTTACTGTTTGTTCAGTGTCCTAAATACTACAAGGAAGGTGGGGGAACAGCTATACAAACTTATCATTGCTTTTAAGAGTGCAGAGGAAGGGCACTTGCAATAAAGGGAAAAGTAAAATGCAACCCTCATATAATGGTGGGAGGTCACATTATGAGCAAAGATTTCTTTAATACACTGGCAGGCAGGTAGGTCATGTTCACTCCATCTATTCCTCTACCATGTTCATACAGAGGGGAACCAAGAAGTCTCACTAGTTCATTTTTGAGTAAACTGGATTTTAACCAGCACAATCCTTTAAAAAGAATAGTTTTTGACTTTTTGCTTAAGTTGAATCCGGTTATTTTATCAACATGAAAAGCAGCCTACACAAACAATATTGAAAGTTTTTAAAAGCTTGAAACAGCCTGCTTTAGTTTGGTTACCTGAAGTTGTGGGTTGCTTGGCAGTGTGATGAATGAAATCTGGTGTTCAAGAAGTAGTAGTATTTCTAGGGTCATATATATCATAGAAAGAGACACAGAGATGGTGGCCAGTAGGAAAGATAAAATAAAAGAGGAGTTAAAAATGATAAATATTAATGAAAAAAATGAGGGAAATAAAGAAAGGTGAGAACACAACTAGTGCTCTTTATTTGCTTCCTCCTTTTCCTATGTTATGTTCGGGGCCTTCAATACCTCTCTTTGGTCAAATATGTTTTCCAACTTTGATCAACAGTACCTAGAATGAGCATCATTTAAGTGAAATGCCACAAAAACACGCAGAAAGTAAAATATCATGTATGGTAAATGTGCTTTTTTATCAGTGCTCTCTTTACTGCAATACAGTACTACAATACATAGGTTTGTGATTTGATTCTCACATTTATAAACTGTACCTGTGTGGTAGAAGTAGTGTTCGGTGTGACTGATGATGGCGAGTCACTTGTTTTTGGCTCACCAGGAGACGCTGCTGAACCCTGGGATTCCTGGCTAGCAGGCTGATCTGGAGATAAAGCGTCACTGCTGTCTTCATCAAATGAGTAATCATCCAAAGCTTGGGGATAACTCTCTTGTCCAACTGCTAGGATGTTTACAAAAAATAAACTCTTTATTTCAAAAGTCAGTATTTAGCTAGTTAGAGGAGCCATGAAATGTTGAAAATCAACTAGCATACTATGATTTGTAGTTAAATATTTTTGTATCTAAATGTTATTTTTAACACAATAAAAGCCATCTTAAAAGATATTCAAGGGTCCAAAAATTGGTTGCTCAATGGTGATGGTCTTCTAAGAAAGAATGAAAAGAACTGTATTCCATATATTTGAGCATTTAGTGGGATGGTCCCTTAAGATGGGAGGTGACTAAATAAGAGTCATTTATGTAGCGTCAATTTTTAATTATATTTAATAATGAAAAGATTCACTCATGTAAGACAGACATAGCCTTATACTCCAATCAACTGTACAGTTAAAACTGAGTTTGAATAAAAATAGTATTACTTTGCTCAATTTAGTGCTGATAGGGCATAAGTATCTTAGAAGTTGACATAATACATAGCTAATTAACTATATTTTTTTCAACTAACCTTTAAAGTTAAGGTTCAAATTACTAATTTCTCATATTGCCTTACTGATAACAGATCCAAGTTGTAGATCTTCTACTTGCCTATAATTGCTTCTTTAACACTGGAGTCTACAGGAAGGATGTTCTTTTCCACCAGTTCCATAGGGCCAGGCCTCTGAGCAATCTTCTCATTCAAATCATCTGCCAGCCGAGCTCTCTTCAGTTTCATCTGAGTTGCCTGCAGAGAGGGTTCTGCAAATGTCTCTAAAAGAGATAAAACTTTTAATGATTCTGTTAACTATTTTGTCTCATTTTAAGACCACCAAAATAGCATTTGATTTTCAAAGCCATACCTCCATGCATGTCGAAAACTTGGTCATACAGGCTCAACCAACCAACATAGTATTTAATAATAATTATTAATTTTATTATTAAATTATGGTAGTGCCTGGGGATCCCAAATCAACACCCCATTGTCTTAGGCACTCTGATCAAGGACCCTGCCCCATCATCAATTTAGGATGCAATTTGTAGCTACAGAATCTACACAACATAAACAAGGTGTGTAATATTTACTGTACACTACAACAGATGGACAGGATACCAAAATGCTGTTTATTAGTATAAGCAGCTATATAAATGGTGTTGACCTATTAGAGAGGCACTATCAGATTTAAATGTTTTATTACAAAAAAGTCCTTTTCTATGTTACTGAAATAATTAAAACAACTTACACAACTTCACAATTTATGATATAGTATTGGTTACTTTTGACATTTCTTTCACTAAGGAGAAGACTACACAATTTTGCATTTGATGATAGCCAGTTTCTTGTCAATTTCACTTGCAATTCTCCGGGTTATGTTTGAGTTGAAAACTTCAGAGGGTAATGTTTATTTGCTTAAAACACTCCAGTGAAATATCTTGTTTATTTGAAAAGATTTTCGTTATTAAAAAAAATCCTCACTGATGCTATGAGCATATTTTTACAAAGCTAAAATTTGAATCAAATTTGACCTGAAAAACTCTCTTCAATTACTTTTGCCCCAATTCAGCAAGGAATTTAAACACCTATTTAACTTTAAGCACTTGAGTAGTCCCACTGAAGTCAATTTAAATTACGCAATTGCTTACGCACTTTGCCGAATCAGGGCCTTTGTCACCAAAGTAAGACTATCAATTTATTCTTCTAGACTCATTAAGTAGGCTGAAGTGGAAAGAAAAACCCATCGGGGACATTTTAAAGAATGCAGGCACTTCTTATTCTACAGTAATAATATCAGCATATATGGTAATCATGTGTGTGAAATCAAAAGTATGACACACAGAACTAGTATGATTCATAAATCTAAAAGCAGATCACATTAGTAAAAATGTATACATTATAGCAGCACTCTTCTAGTTAAGGGCGAGTTGGTATTTCTATTATAAACCCCAGTTTTCAGAATGTAACGTCTTGGCTGTTTCCCAATATACTGGGCAGAAACTTGATATGATTTTAGCACCAATGACAGTTTTCCCAGAACAAATATGAATGAAATCCATTAAACTGTTGTTTTTCAACTTCAAAACAAATTTTTTGGAGCCTCTCTTGCCAAACTCAACTATAAAAGGCTTAATTTTAAAATGTAATTTTGAAGATTGTTAGATGTTTGTTGCGTGCTAATTTTAATGACAAAATGCAGATGGCCTGTCAATATGAAGAATCCTGATCTGAGTGTAGTATCCAAGTTCATGTTCTGAAAACTAAAAACAGCAGACTATTTCACCAAATGGAATACTGTTAATTCATTTTGGTTTTATTACTGCTGTTTGTACATACAATGGGATTTCAATATTAAAACATGCTAATGCAGTCCCATTCAAAAACTGATTTTATTATTTCTGAGTATTAAATTTACCTGAACAGAAAGGCAACAAAATGTGGAGAGATGAGCTCATTAATGGTTAATCTACTGTGGAAAACCTCCCTTAAAATTGTAAGATTGTTTCAGGGCTTCCTGGAAAGACTGCAACAATGTATACTGTATGTACAACTTTTAGGACTTAGTCCTGCTAGTGAAGGCAGGGGGCTGGACTCGATGACCTTTCGGGGTCCCTTCCAGTTCTATGAGATAGATAGGAGATAGATAATACAGCAATTAACTTTATATGATACAACACAAGTTTTATTTAAGGGAAACTGTGGTTATAGCGGCATCCTCCTCACAGCTGAGAAGAGAGCAGTGGTCAGGAGTGTCTTCTCTGCTGTCCTATGGATTAAGGATAAAGATTCCTCCCCACTGGTTCAAGTCTCCATGGAGTGTCAATTACCTGAACTACAGATTGGCATGCAAAACAGTCCTGCACCTTAATAAGTACCTCATAACAAAGCTTGATTCAGTAAGATAGCCCAAAACTAAAATAAACCGTTAGCCTGAAAAACAGGATACATGGGTTCCTACCTTCCAGAATATGCATTCTGACCAATTCTGATCGATCTGGTCTGCTGCGAATCTTGTGCTTCAGAAAATTTTCAGTCTTAAAAAAAAAAAAAAAAAAAAACGCACGCATCATACTAATGCTAATAACTATAGAACAAAGCAATTTGTTCATTCACACAAACTTTTACAAGAACTGGATTTATGAATATATTGCTGCTTGGCTTATATTCCTGTAGCTGAGTATCACTGTTTTCTGTTGGGGGAGAGATTTATTTTTTGTATTGAAAATTCTTCCCTATGAACAAAGCTTTAGAATTTTTGGCAAGACTTTGCATTAAAGCTTAGGTTGTGGCTTTATGTTTGTGATTATTAAAGTATTTATATTGCACAGTAAGTATAGTTGGCAATTTACATTGCCTAGGATAAAACTTAGCTCCCCTTCCCCTGAATAGTTTACAAATAACCAGGATCCCATACAATGACCCACCTTAAACAGACTCTCTGCCTAATACCCCCACTCGCTCCTCTTAACTACGACTCAAACACACAGAGCAAGAAAGGGAGATTGAAATCTAAATCTAATTGGTGTGATTGAACTGGGATTTGGGAAATGCAGCACACTGGTACAGACATAAAATGACTACAGTAAGCAAGACAGAAATTGCCTTTGAACTGCTTTTAAAACTCAATTTTTTTCTTTACTTGAAAGTTAGTGACATCCCTACTTCAAAGCAGCAGCCAGCACTAATGAGCAAATTGCTCCTGGTCCTTGTGTTGGTACATAGAGAGCCTTCTCTACACACATTAGTACATCCCGTGTAAGAACCAGAGACAGTTTAAGTGTCTGAGTCACAATCCCTGCGTAAGCAACCCAGGAGCAATCCAGAGATACGCTATTCCATAATGCAGATCCATGCCATATTAGCACAGTTCAGACCTTTGCTATTAAAATCTGCTGTGCAAAGTAACATCCTTATTAATTTTCTTAAAAGAAACCCATCTCTTTGGAATAAGTTTGAAGATCTAGATGACTAGACTTCACAGTTTAAAGTTTGCCAGTTTTATGAAGTTATGGCACAAAAACTGACTCTTACTGGATTGTGCAGAGTAATTCAGGCATAACTAACCTTGTCCTAGAGTCCAGATTATTATTAAAGTTTTTAAACTGTCTTTAATAAAAATTGTCAGCTGACCTACCAGTGTCTCTCTTATAAAGGATATGTATTAGGAGATGTCAATTTGTCCATTATCCTCCATATAAAAGTACGAGGAGGTGGACTGAAACAGTACTGTACATGGCAGTAGCTGTATCAATGGCCCCATCAATTTCTACATAATTTAAGGTTATTCTGAATGTGATCCAGATCAGTGGTGACTTCTTAAATCTGAAGACAGGCAGACTGAAAAGAGATCTAAGGGCAATATTCTGCATGCCACATCTATGGATGAATGTAAGTGGAGTGGAACTGCTATGATTCTGTGTAGTATGTAGCAACTCATGCACCACTGAGCTCTGTTCTTTGGTGGATCTCCATGGCAACCAGTGGGGAAGGGAGAATTAGCAAGAATTGGTGCAGGGGAAAGGCCAGTAAATTTTACAATACTTTTACCATGATCCAAAGCTGGATCAATCTACAGAGAAAGCAGGCAGGCACTACAACTGTTATTGTAGTCCTAGAGCACAGAATGCTCTAGGATGGATAATATGATGGTGGCATTTTTTTCCCTCTTGCCTGCATTAAGGCTTGTCCACAATGCAGTTTTAGCCACCAGAGTACCTACACTGATACAGCTGCACTGGTGCCTAAAAACTTCAGCACAGACAAGGCCTCAGTTTCCTTGCACAAAACCTGCCATCTTTCTCTGCTGTCATTTTAACAGTGCTTTTCTTGGACTGGGGGGCAGACCTGGAGTAGAGTACCATTACATTTAAACCCCCAACCTGTCCGGTACCGGTGGAGAATTCAGAACACTCCCACTCAACACAAGAGATTTGCTACAAATGTTGCATTTCAATTTTAAGGATTCTTCCAGAATATTACCATAGACTATTTACAATGATAATAAAATGTCCCATGCAGTCTGAGAACTGCCTACCTCACATTACTGATCTATTTTTGTTTTTCATAAGTAATAAACTAGCTTTCTTTTTTCAGATATTAACAGTATGTTGATAGTTTTAAAAAAAGTATAAACTAGATCCCTTACCCTGGCTCGTTCCAAGCTCTTTCTCTGCTCATGGAATGCAGCTGGGCTTTTCAAAGCTGTGAGAAGAAAGAAAGAGTTAAACTGACAGGAAATGGTTTTCAAATGAAATGCTCTAATCAGTGTATTAGTTAAGGATAGGCATCTTGCACTCAACACTACATTAGATGTGGGATTCCACTTTACTAGCCCAACATCTGACTCTTTCTATTTATTATTTGCTTGTATTTCCTGAAGGTTAAATTCATCCCTGTGCAGAAAGCCTAAGTGGGACTGAAGTATTGCATATTCTTTGTGCTGGCCCTCTGCACAGGGAGGCATTCCACTCTGAGATTATAGCTCATTGTTAAAATATGTACAGGTTAAGTCTTTCTCACATAGAAAATTACTGTAACTCACTGATATAACACAGATATAGATTCTAAATTGGGATTTGTAGCTAAGCAAAGCTGTGGATCATCAAGGCAAAACAAACTCCACTCCTCATGCATATGCAGAGAACATTAGAACATTTTTAAGGTACACTGTGATGCCCTAATAAATTCTAATATTTTATGTCACCCATGTCATATGCTGGTGTCCCCTAGCTATTTACCAATAAAGTGCTCTATGGTAGAATTTTATCAGCCTCCATTCAAAATACTGAAGCTGTCTATCTGTCCCACTACATTACCCTTCACTTATGATTTATTTTCTCTAATAATAAATACAGGAAAGATCAATGCACAAAACATTCAGACAGGTAAAGAAATGGTCTGTTACTAAGAACTGTCTGCACTAATCTGTTTTTAAACATTGTAAAAACACAAAATATTCAAAGTAAAGAACAGTTAAAATAGACTAGCACCATAATGTTGTGTTTCATTCTGAAGCAATTTTCAAGAAAATATAAACAAGTAAGGGAAAAAATCAAGGGCACATTTGTATTTTTTAAAGTGCTATCTCCTCACTTTCCTAATGAAGTCTGTTGATTCCCAGACAGAAAAAGAAAGGTGCCTCCTTGGAGCCCACTCCACAGTGTAAGAAGTCTGCAACATTGTAGCTGAAAGCCCAGCTGTGCTTGAGAGAGAAGGTATTCCCTGACTTTCTGTGACCTCCCTAACTTCTGCAGTGGCCCCTGCTGTTGCCCTGGGAGCTGACTGAGCAGCTCAGGCAGCCCCTGGGCCAGTTGCACCGGCTGCTGCTGGGGCAGTCTCAACCCCCCGCTCCCCAGAAGCAGGAGTTTGGGTGTGGGGGGTTCAGGGCTGGGGATTGCGGTGTGGGGTGGTGCTTACCTGCGGGGAGAGGGGGGCTCCCTGGAAGGGTGACAGGAACTCCCCTCCCTCAGCTCCTGGCTCCACATGTGGCCTCCGCACGCAGGCACCGCTGCTGCAGCTCCCAGCCAATGGGAGCCGTGGTTCCCAGCCAATGGGAGCTTTAGAACCGGGGCTTGGGGCAGAGAGGAGGCAGCATGTGGAGCTAGGAGCTGGAGGTTGCCGCTTCCCAGGAGCCAGGTAGGAAACCTGCCCCAGCCCCACCAACCCCCTCCCCCCCAGCACCCGTGGCACCCCCTCAGCTATGCCCCCCCAGCGACTGCCCCCCCTAGTGCCATCCCACCCCCAAAGTTTTAGTCAGGGGTATATAGTAAAGTCATGGACAGGTCATGGGACATGAAATTTTGTTTACTGCCCGTGACCTGTCCATGACTTTTACTAAAAATACCCTTTACTAAAACGTAGCCTTACTGATAAGTCACTATTGTACTGAAAAGGCTAAGAGGATACTATAGTGAAGCAGTCTCAGGTGTGTTGGGTAACTGGAAACCTCCAAGAAGAGATTAGTTTCAAGAAGCCATGCAAGGAATGCAAGGAATTGTGACTTCAACCAGTGAAGACTTGAATATTATTTATAATAATTGTAACTAATGCATTTTTGTAATTTTAAATTGGTATATTTGTTTATTGAATAAAGAATAATTTTTCTAATGGGGTCCATAATCTATGGAGTCCAGTCTTCTCTTACTAGACATTGTCAACTTCCACTGATTCTAAAAATGGACTAAGGTAAAGATGCTCAGGGGGGTGGGGAGTGTTCAGTGCAACTAGGGATGGTGGTATCAAAGGTGGCTTTAATCTGCCTTTGCACTCCGCTGATCCTAGGGCTGCCGTCCACCCAGCTGGTCCCCCAGCGTAAGTTAGAATAGCTATAGGCTGCTCTACCTTGTTCCAGCTGCTTATGTTCCCTAAAGAATGTTACGGCACTCAGGGATAGCCAGGGCATAAAAACACCACAACCAGAGCCCTCTCCTTTTTCTTGGGGGATGGAGCGGTGGTGGTGTTGGAGCTGGAACAGCAGCTCTATGCCACTCAAACCCTGTATGCATGGGATCTTCTGCTATTGATTAAACTGAATTTAGGGTACCTTTGTGCTGGCACTAACCCTAAATAAGCAAAGTCAAGGGGAAAAATGGACCTTAGGACCAAATATAGTTAGTTTACTTTAAAGTACTGAAATCATTTACAAAGAAGCCTTATAGTTTTAAAAATACAATGTAGTAATTTCAGATACATATTACTGTAAATACAACTAACAAAACTAAATTAACTGAGTTTTCAAACTGTACCTGATTAATAAACAGCATCTAAATTATCTACATTTTCAATTTGTAACTAAATTAATAAACAGTAACTTTGTTTTAGACTATATCATAGAATTAGAGATGGAAATGACTTCCTAAGTCATTCAGTAAGCCTTATTTGTCCACTTGCTTTCATTGGTGTCATTCAATCATTTGCAGTGAAGTTACTCACAGTTTAAAATGTTGTAAAGAATAATTAGGCCCAGTATTTTCTATCATTGGTCTGCTCTTATTTCAAATGTCTCCAACTCTAGGGGGACGCTACCACAGTGGCTATTCTGTCTGCAGATTAATTTAGTTTACTGACTTTATCTTGTTTTTTAAATACCTCTTATTTAAATTAGCTATAATTTTCCTGTAGGTATTAAATGAATATCATCAAATGACAAAGTTATCATGACTGCTTTCCTTAGAAATGTTCATCTTCAATTATTTTATATGTCTTGAAATATGATACAAGTTACTGTAAATAAAATTAGTCTTACGTGGCATGATGCCCTGGTCCACCAGTTGTTCTCTTGTCCGTCTTTGCTGCAGCCTAAGCTGAAGTACTGGCAAAAGAAAATAGCAATCATTAATTCACATGCTATGATACTCTCTCCTACTTAAAGCTGCAGAAAAGAACAATATACATTCTAATAAGAAGTCAAATATTTCAACTTTAGAAATATTTTGACTATGTTCATTCAGTAACAGACACAGGATATTGTATAATAGACCTATAGGTTACTTTTTAAAATCTTTGGTAATATTACAACTAAATAAGGACTGCAGAACGGATCTATTAGAGCATCAGACTTAGTTGCAACATCTAGTGCATAATGTTTAGTAAAGATACATACTGAACTTCATGCGACTGCTCTACAAATTTCAATTATTGGGACCTGTCTTGATACACTATGGATACTACCACTGCTCTAGCAGAGTGTGTCCTAATCATAGAAAGAAGATAATGTGAGGCATTCTTATAAGTTTCTATTATAGATAGTTTGACCCATCTAGACAATGTTTGTGCTGTAATGGGATTTCCTTTACAGTTACCTGCATATGAAACAATCTGTGTGACAATCTAAAATCCTTGATCTTATCTAAACAGAACAATAACACTTTTAGTGTCCAAACAATGTAACTTCACTCCACTCTTATTTGAAGGTGATTTGGGGGGAAAAACCAACACTGATAGAATAATGGATTGGCTAACGTAGAAGTCCGAAATTATTTCTGGAATCCACACTTCGGGTGAGGACAAAGAACTACTTTGTCTTTATGAAAAACTGTAAATGGAGGGTCAGCCATCAAGGCACAAGTTTATTAACCCTCCTAGCTGACATTACTACTATAATAAATGCAGTCTTAATTGAAAGATAAAATACAGAACACATAGATAATGGTTTGAAGGAAGAAAACATAAGCTGTGAAAGCACTAAGTTTAAATTCCAAGCAGGAACAGGCTCTCTTATAGGGGGAATAAAGATTTAATAAACTTTTAGAAACTTCAATGATATTACGAGAGAATACAGATTTACCATCTATTGGTATACTGCAGTTTTGGTTAAATGTACCCTAAATGACATAACAGTTATACCTTTGATCTTTAGAAAGATTTCTCTAATTCTATCAAAGATCTATTGCCCATGCTGTCAAATGTAACAAAAGTGGATCTGGATGGTACATTTTCCCTTGCTGCTGTGACAGAAGGTCCACTAACTGGTTGAGGGATCCTGGTTCACACAGTGCTGCCATATAAACCTTGTGATGAATACACCACTCCCAAAGCTTTATTGCCTCTTTGCAAAGCTGCGAAGAGTGGGCTCCTCCCTGTTTGTTTATATAATACATTGCTATCATGCTGTCTGTGGCCACCTGAACCACACACCCTTTCACTTCAGGGAGGAAAGATCTGAGTGCCAGTTGGATTGCTCCTGATCCATCCACCACAAGTTTTCTGGATTTTGTTTGGAATAGTAATTATTAGGTTCATGTGTCTTCAGGTTTGAAGTTTCTTGTCCCCCGCCCCCAGTGTAGAAGAAATCTCATCTTTAGTCTCGCATTGGGTGTAACATATGTGGTTGATGCCATGAGACCTAGAAGGGAGAGGAAGAACTTCGCTTTCTGAGATGGATTCTTGTCTTCTGGAAGGTAAGCTTTCACTGTTCTGGAGTCTAGAACTGCTCCTATGAAAGAGATACTCTGTGAAGGTATCAGTAGAGATGTCTTTTCATTGATCCAAAACCGCAAACTCTGAAACACGGAGCATGTGAAATGAGTGTCCACTCTCAGTTCATGTTTGGATCTGCTTTTAGGAGCCAAGAGTCTAAATACAGAAGCACAAAAATCCCATCTTGTCTGAAAAGCTGCCACTACAGATAGGCATTTTGTAAAGGTTCTGGGTGCAGTGGAAAGGCCAAAAGGAGGACCTGTACTGGAAATGGTCTTGTTCTCTGGTGAAATGCAGGGTATCTCCTGTGAGATGGTCTTTATTGAAATATGAAAGCAAGCATCTTTTAGGTTGAGAGCAGCAAACCAATCCAGATAGGAAAGGAAAGGAATAACAGAATCCATAGTTAACATTCTGAAATGAAACCTTTGAATGATCAACCCCCATCTTTGTTTGGAATTAGGAAATTGTGGGAATAGAAACCCAAATTTCTGAAATTTATTAGAATCTCTTCTATTGCTCTCTCTCTTAGCAGAGAGTTGATTTCTGCTCTTAACACTCATTTGTAGAGGGGTCCCTGAATAGGGAGGAAATGGGAGGTTGGCTTGGAGGGATGGTCTTGAACTGGATGGTGTAACAGTTCTTTATAGTGTCCCAAACTCATTTGCCTGTAAAACTGGCATAAATGGTATCCAAATAAAAGGGGAATGGAATTCAAAGCTGGCTTGCTGCTCTCTATCCCCATGTCAATACTGAGGTCTGTCAGTAAAGAAGAAGTGGAGGACGAATTCTTCTGTCTCAGTTTAGACTTAAAGGGACATCTTCTATACTGGTGTTGAGAAGAAGAAGATTGGACTGTTGTTGCTGTAGCATTGTCTGCCTTTGTTGAAATAGGAAGACGAAGACTAAGGTGAGTAATATTGTCTTTGATAGCTGGTGTAGGAATTCTTCTCTTAAGAGGTTGCAAGAGACCCAGAGATCTAGCTGTGGGCCGACTCTCATTTTCATCTAACAGCTCATTAGTTTTTGAACTAAACCATTCATCTCTCTCAAATGGAAGGTCTTCAATCTTTGACCTCATTTCTTGGGGAAAAGAAGAGTTGCGTAGCCATGCACGTCTTTGGATAGTTATTGCTGCAGCTACTGATCTTGACAATGCATCTGAAACATTGAAAGATGCTCTCAATTAATGTTTAGCAACATTATGATCCTCTTTAATAAGGTCATTAGTCAGTCTGCAGTGTTCCTCAGGAAGATTTTTTTGTAAAAAGGGAGATCTTTTCCCAGAAGTGAAACTGATCCCTAGCCATGACAGCTAGGTAGTTAGTTATCCTCATGTGTAGAGAAGCTGCAGAAAATACCTCTCTTCCTAAGGAATCTAATTTTTTTCCTTCTGTGTCATTGGAACATTTACATTCTACTCCCATTCTTTACTCCTCAGGGAATTCTGCGCCACTGTGCAATGCAGAATTTACGCAAAAATTAATGTTCTGGGCAGAATTTCCTGCTTCTCCCCCCACAGAAATGGGCTGCAGAGCTGCTAGCCACCACTAGCGGAGGCTGGACTCGGCAGAGCCCAACTTCTAAACAGAGATACTGCCAGGGGGAGAGGGGCGGAGATGGAGAGTTCCAGGCAGCTGCAGTTCCCGGCATGTCCTGAAGGAAGGAGGTGGTGTTCAGGAAACTCCACACAAGCCAGGGACTCAGGATCAGGCTGTTTCTCCCTCTTGGTCCCTGGGTTCTAGGAGAGTAGGGTGTGTGTGAGAGTATGTGGCCTGGGGCCAGAGGCCCGCAGCTGGGATCTGCGGGGAGGGGTTTTGAGTGTTCGGGCTGGGGGGCACCCTGAGGGGGAGGGAGTATGGGTGTCTGGCCTCCTGGTTGGGGTCACAGTGGGGAGGGGGCAGAGAAACAGGAACTGGGTTGTCACAGGAGTTTCTTTAACTCTCTACTCCTGGGGGAAATTTTGTGTGAGTCTGTATTGTTACAGACATAGTTGCTGACAGATATTTTGAAATAAATTACCAAAATAATCGAAACTGGAGTGATTATATAGTGTTATTTATCTTAAAATATTGTGTACAGAATTTTTAATGTTTTGGCACTGAATCCCTTGGAGCCACTGAAATTTTCTTGCCCCCATGCAGAACTGAGGTCATTGCTGCTGAAGGAGATGGAAATAGAAACGCTGGAGTTGGCCAATATGACCACGGCATCCAGGGAGGTACTTGCCACTCATGATGTTTTGTCCAGTTCTGTACCATCTCAGTCATGAGAAAACGCCTGTCTCCCAAAGTCTGTCTCCCAAATGGCTTTGAGGTTGAGGCTCCAGGTAAACTGTTGTATCCACTTCCTCTTCTGAATGTGAATTCAAGCCCGGATCTGACAAGGAACCAATTGGTGATACCACAGAGGTAGGAATCTGTAGTAGCGACAAGGGAGAACTAGTCTTTCTAGCAGGTGTTCTGAGAGGTGGCAGCAGCATCACAGAAGATCCATGTGATGAAGACTCCGCCTTGTGCTTTTTTAATTTTTTTGTGAGAAGAAGATTGTTGTGTCAGATCCTTATCCAAACCTCTCTTTTCTATTGGTGAAACTCAAAATGGATTTGATAAGTATAGTTCCACAAGTACCCGTGTGGAAACTACCTCAGAAAGTGTAAGTGCCAATGCAATATAGGGATTTATTGATTTCTCAGGTACTGACTGCAAAGTGCAATCTCAGTCTCCCGTCTGTCTTGGATCTGCATGTTCGCGATCTGAAGGATCCGATGAGTTTCCCAAATAGGAGACAATACCAGGCCCAGAAAGATGCTTGATCTTGGTTTTCTTTTTCCTTGGAATCGAAGGTCCCATTTCCTTAGAGACTTAGGCATAGAATACCTATTGTCCAAGCCAGTTTCAGCTAGTGTCAGTACCCTTTTTGAAAGTGAGTCTGAGATTTTTGTTGCTGACTGGTTAGTCTTCGATCTTCAGCTCAAAGCTGAAGCAGAAGACTAAGATGCAGAGGGCTTCTTGGAACCAAGAAGGTCCTAGAGCAATCCAGGCTTCTTATTTCCATTCTCAGATCCAGAAATTTTAGCCAACAAGGCTTCCTATAGAAGAAGGCTTGGAGTCTGTTCTGCCTCTCCTTTCTAGCTCGCAGTGTAAATGTCCTGCATATAGTACACCAAGAAGGAGAGTGCCCCTCTCCTAAGCATTTTAGGCATCAAGTATGGGTGTCAGAAAAACTGCAGGACAGTGCCTAAATTAGTGTTTCCGGTTCTTCAAATCCACCATTCTAATTACTAGTAACACCAAACTAACACTATGATAACTATCGATTTACAGAAAAAAACAAGGCACTTATCTAACTTGCTAAGGATTTTGAATCTGTCTTGTTATATATATCCAAAGA